GTTGGAGGGGTTTGGGGGGAGGGCGGGGGGTGGGAACTAAACATTTGTAAAAGTTTGTTTTTTTCAAAAATGTTCAATTAAAAATATATATGAAAAAATGGTCATAAGTCCTTTTTTCAGGGCTGTTGTAACTTCAAATGGTCACTAAATGAATTGATGTAAGTCGAGGATTATCTGTATTCAGGTGGCCATCGACTTACCATCATTCATTGACAGACTGTTCAAAATTACAGTGACAATGAAAAGAGTGACTGACAGGCCATCCTTCATCCGTCACAGCATCTCCCTCAGTCCCATGATCAAAATTTGGTTGCTTGACAACCAGTATTTTTTTTTTATTTAGGAAATTTATAGTGCCACCTATTTGCACATGGCGACCCAAGGCGGCTTACGAGAATATAAAAACCTGATATAAAAACCAATAAAACTAATAAGAGAATCGTATAACAAATTAATAAAATCATTGAATAAAATAACCCCCCGCCCCGGAGACAACACATCACATGAGCTATTTAATGGGTGCCATCCCGCTCTGCGTTCCCCAGGCCCACTGGCAGAACCAGGTCTTAGGATGTTGGCAGCATCCTGGGGTCATCGGATCATCATCTGCAATGTTCCCAAATGGCACGCAAAGTCAATGGGGGAAGCCGTATTTGCTTAACGACTGCACAATTCACTTAACAACTGCAGTGATTCACTAAATAAACCTTCCTCTAGCAAAAAGGTTGTAAAATCAGACACGACTCACTTAACAACCTCATTGGTTGGCAACAGAAATACTGAAGCCAATTCTGGTCATAGATCAAGGATCACCTGTAGTTATTTGCTATTGTTGTTGTTAGCTGTGAAGTTGTCTGACTCATCACGACCCCATAGACAAGGTTCCTCCAGGCCTTCCCGTCCTCTACCATCCTCCAGAGTCCATTTAACCTCACGCCAGTGTTGGGATTCAAATAATTTAACAACCGGTTCTCTGCCCTAATGATCAGCTGGGTAGACGTGCCTCGGTGGTCATGTGACCGTGTGGGCGTGGCCAACTCAACATCACTCAGGTCAATGGGCGCTTCGCCTTAGCTGCTACAATGTAATGAGGGTTAACGGGAGAGGCTGTTTTTGTAAGCAGGGTAATAAAGATTAGGCTAGAAACAACAACAGAATGTTCCCTTCCTGCCTTCCTTACAGAATTAGCCCTGTAAAGTGGAAAAACACAAAAGGAGATTTCTTCCAACAACCAGTTCTCCGAACTATTCAGTTGGATTNGAGTGGAGGTGATTGGCAGTAGGCGGTCTCTCAAGTACTGACTAAAACAAGTCTGTCTGCACATTTGTTCCACTTAACTGTGAGTAAACAAAGTAAGGAAACTTACTGTGTAAATTGTTTAAGTATGAGATACCTACCATATTCAAAATCCTAAATATCTGGAAACAAGAAATATTAGGAAATAACCACTTTATAGAGCACTAGGTAGGAGCAGTTAGGCTAGAAACGTCTTACTTTATACTTAAAAAGTACAGCTATAAAGAACCTGATGAAGCTACCTTGTGAACATAGAGTTCCCCTGGCTTTGTAGTTTCAATATTCCCCCCTGCTTCAGCAGCTAGATCTACGACCACTGATCCTTCCTTCATCAATTCAATCATATCTTTTCGAAAGAGGATCGGTGCTTTTTTACCTAAGGGGGAAAAAGAAAGCCATCACAATATTCTACAGTTGTAATCTGTACTTAACACAAATAACCCGCTCTTTCATTTTTCTCTAGATAAAAAAGAACAATTAAGCTTTTTCAGTTCTGTAAATTTCCAGAGAATCAGTCTTACATAAACTTATAGATAGTCCTAGACTTAGAACTGGTCATTTAGTAACTATTTCAAGCTTTGACAAACCTACCTGAGATGTACTTATGGATTCAAAGTGTCAACATTCAGTTACGTGACCTTATTTTGGACATGGGGCAGCCAGGCTGCATGTAAATCACTGCATTTTACCACAGTTTTCTGAAAAAAAATCAGTATTTACCATATTTTTCAGAGTATAAGACGCACCAGAACATAAGACACACCAAGGTTTTGAAGGGCAAATTTTTTTTAAAGTTTTTGCACACTGCAAACCTCCCAAAAATGGGCCTGGTTTTTTTTTTTCAAAAAAGGGGGGGCATAAATAGCCCTTAGGAGGCTTGTAGAGTGTTCCTGAGAGGGAGCAAAAACGAGCCAAAAACGGGGCCATTTTTTGTCAAAAAAGCACATTAGGAAGCTTATAGAGTGCTCCTGGGGACTTGGGGGGGGGCAAAATTGAGCAAAAAAACAGCCCATTTTAGGGTCATTTCTGCCCTCCCCAATCCCCAGGAGCTCTCTGAAAGCCTCCTACAAGCTATGCACAGCCATTTTGGTGAAGGGACGGAATTTCAAGAGGCAAAAAATGCTGTATTCAGTATATAAGACACACCCAGATTATCAGCCTTTTTTTTTTTGAGGGAAAAAGATGCGTCTTATACTGCAAAAATATGCGTCTTATACTCCAAAAATACGATAGTTCTGCTTTTCAGTAATAAAGTGCCCATAGTGAACCATTGGTTTGCTTAACAACCACAGTGTTTGGTTAATGCTAGTGGGGTCACTTAAGGACTGTGTGGATTAACAACTGTAAAAAAACAAACTCATTCTGCAACTCACATGAATTCAACTGTGATGGGCAGGCTCCATTATGTCATAACTCATGGACTACCTGTATAAACTTGAAAGGGGCCATTTAGACCACAAACCTGCTACACAGTGCAAAAATCACCACGTTGTTGAATATCAAATTCACGTCACCACTCCAGAGCTACAATAAATTCTTGGCCTTTAACTTACTTTCTCAATATGAGTTGGAGCAAAGATTATTACTCCAATCAAACATTCTAGTGAAAAACTCATGTATATTCTACAGAATACTTACCGGGAATAAGTGCTGTTGTAATAATGATATCAACTTCTTGACATTGTTTAGCAAAGAGTTTCATTTCAGCTTCAATAAACTCTTTCGACATCTCCTTTGCATACCCTCCTTGGCCTTCTCCAGATTCCTTTAGGTCAACTTCCAAAGGCTCAGCACCTAATGATTTAAATTGTTCTAATGCAGCAGCTCTACCAAGTAGAAAATAAAGCAAACTCTTAATAACAAGGAAAAGAGCAAATAATATACAGAACATAATACCAGAAAATAAGTCTGTGCAGGAGTCTTCAAACCAGAAAATGATATTCTCCCCTTAAAAATGACCTCCAATAGAAGCGTAGAATAAATTCAGATGTGTTACTAAAGTGATGATGAGTTTGTCAAATAGGAATTATTTCAGTATAGAAATAATGTCTGCAATTACTTGCATTCTTAATCCCGCAGGGATGTACCAAAAATTGAAATTTTCAGGAAGCCTGGAGGTTGAACAAAAGTGGTAGTCACCATGTGAAAACAGTAAGATAAAAGGACGTTCACATAAATATCCTTCCCTTTTCTATGAGATGAACAAATGAATGAATGAATATCCCTACCTGTTTACTAAAGAAACTTTATTTTATTTTGTGTTATTTTATTGTTTTTACTGGCTTGATATTATGATAAAAGGTTTTAATTTTTTTTAAAATTTAACAGAGTTGGAAGGGACCTTGGAGGTCTTCTAGTCCAACTCCCTATACCACTTCAGACAAATGGTTATCTAATCTCTTCTTTAAAACATCCAGCGTTGGAGCATTCACAACTTCTGGAAGCAAGTTGTTCCACTAATTAATTGTTTGTTCTAATTGTAAGGAAATTTCTCCATAGTTCTAAGTTGCTTCTCTCCTTGATTAATTTCCACTCATTGCTTCTTGTTCTACCCTCTTGTTTTATTGTAAATTTATGCAATTTATGTTGTATCACTGTGGCCTTGTTTATGAGGAGAAGCAGCATAAGAACAAAATAATAATTTAAACATGCAAGGTAGTGATGGGGATAGGGTTATCACACTGAATGGACAGAATATAAGACGGGAATCAATCAAATTTGAGACTACAATTTCAAATACCGATAGTCGTCATTCACTGACTACCTGTTCAGCAACCATTCAAAGTTGCGACAGCACCAAACAAGGAGAGTTACAAATAGTCATCATAGTTGCAGCCATTTCAGTAGTTCCACAGTCATGTGATAGTGATTTGGGTGCCTGGCATTTGGCCCATTACATTGGAATGTGTCACAATCATGACTGCTGTTTGTGACCTTCATTGGCTTCCAACAAGCAAAGTCAATAGGGAAGCCAGCAAGAGGCTACAAATGGCGATCTTTGCCTAATGACTAGAAGGGGCCATTGTAAGCCAGCATGGTTGCATGGTGGCATGCTTTATGACCACAATCAGTTAGCGATGGAGTTGCCGGACCCAATTACCACACTTAATTGAGAACAACTGTCAGGTTTCCAAGTAACACTCCCAATGAAAGAAGACTCTGAGGCCTGAAGTTCCTCAAAGTTCCATTTTATTAGAGATGTCCTATTGGCACCTCTAGGAAAATACGAATCTGAAAGCTTCCAGGTTTTCCCCACCCAAATGAAAGTCCAAGCCCCTGCCCAGCACCCACATGTCCATCACATGGTCCAATCAGGTAGCGTCCGAACTGGAGATGCTTCCTAGTCTTACCTCTCCAGGTGCAAAGCAGTATGTCCTTGACTCTCTGAGAAAGGAATGTTATTTTGACTATATATCTCCTTTACTCCCTATAATTCCCTCTCCCGAAGGCCCAATGTAAAAGATGGCTTCCCGGCCTGACAACTACTATTATGTTCAAGCTTTACAGATCCTTGTTCATTTCTTCATCTTCTCGATGAATGAATGGCTAAAATGCATTCTGCTCATCCTTCTGCCTATTCCTGAATACATAAAGAGAAATGGCTCAAAAGAGCCATTGGGAGAAACTTGTGACTTTGATCACGGGATGCCATCAGGGAAGGCTGGCAAATGGCAATTACATGGCTATGGAGCACTGCAACNGTATAAGACATACCTTTTTCCCTCAGAAAAGAGGCTGAAAATCTGGGTGAGTCTTATACACTGAAAACAGCATTTTCTGCAACCCGAAACCCCACCCCCTTCACCAAAATGCCCGTCCATAGCTTTTAGGAGGCTTGCAGAGTGCTCCTGGGGGCTGGGGAGGGCAGAAATGAGCGAAAAATGGGTTGTTTTTTGCTCAATTTTGCCCCCCCCTCCCCTCTGCAAGCCTCCTAAAAGCTATTCAGGCCCTTTTTTGACAAAAATGGGCCATTTTTGGGAGGTCTGCAGAGTGCAAAAACTTTTTTTCATTTACCTCTTCAAAATCTTGGTGCATCTTATACTCCGGCGCGTCTTATACTCCAAAAATACAATCTATAAATAATTCAGCAAACATATCTACAATTCCTTCCTTTGCCTATTTTCCACACATCAATGGGTTGAGCTGAGAGTGACTGGCCCCAAGTCACCCAGCCAGCTTTCATATCTAAGTAAAGAACTAGAACTTGCAGTCCATTTCCATGCCTGACCTACTCAAAGAGTTGATGATTCAAAGATCGCCATGATGTTTTGGCAACATCTTGGCCAATCAGTAGTTGGAACGTGGCATAGTCCTATAACATTAAATATACCTGAAGAGCAACCATGTGTGGAATGCAGAGTTAGAAACTTATTAGTAAATATGGCAATCCATCCTTTGGACCAAATTAAGGATTGGTACAAAGATTTTAGCCTACTTAGTCTGCTTCTCAAGTGATAACCCTTGCCACAAACAGTGCAAAAATTAACTCTGGGAGAATTAGGCTTCTAGGGGATAAGAATTGAAAGTTCTGCAGTACTGTGTTTCCCCGAAAATAAGACAGGGTCTTATTTTCTTTTAACCCACAAAATATGGTCTTGGGCTTATTATAGGGGGAAGGCTTATTGTTTTGGGGTTGCCGGGCAGCTGCTCCCTTGTGAGAAGGCTCCCGAAGAGCCGGGCACAGCCTCAGGGGCGAAGCAGCCATGAGATGACCACGCTCACAAGCAACCACCCAGCAAACCCCCTCTCCAGCCGGGCAGAGCGCCATTCACTGACCTAGGGGTAGCCCTAAGGTGCCAAGGAACGTGGCACTCTGCCCACTTCCCAGTTTCCGCGGCTTGGCACATTAGGGATACCCCCTAGGTCAGTGCATGGTGCTCTGTCCGGCTGGAGAAGGGGGTTGTGCGAGCGCCTGTTCCGCCCCCAGCAAGCATGCCTTTCAGCCTCACCATGCCCTGGCCAGCTCTCCCTGCAGGGCTAGGGCGGCAGCGCCGCTGCTACCGCGCTCCAAGCATAACTTCTTCTCCAGCTTCCAAACTCCAAAACTCGGCTGCCAAGTCTTCCAGCAGCGGCCGCTCTAGGAGTGCGCTCTGTGGTTGTGGGCCGGCTGCCAGACAGAGAGTCTTCCAGACACAGAGTCTTCCAGCAGAGTCTCCCTAAATGGCATAGGGCTTCTTATTTGAGGGACTGCCTATCTGCTATAGGGACGCAGTGGCTCAGTGTCGATCAGAAAGTCGACAATTCAGCAGTTAGAATCCCTAGCACCATGTAACGGAAAGAGCTCCCATTACTTGTCCCAGCTTCTGCCACCCTGACAGTTCGAAAGCACATAAAAATGCAAGTAAAAAAATAGGGACCACCTTGGTGGAAAGGTAACAGCACTCCATGCTGTTACCTTCGCCTTTTAATTATGCTGCCCACATGACCACAGGAAAGTCTTCAGACAGCGCTGTCTCTTCAGTTTAGAAATGGAGATGAGCACTGGCTCTAGAGCTGGAAATGGGTAGCACACATGTGCAGGGGAACCTTTACCTTTACTATCTGCTACAGAGTGTGTTCAATTGATTTCAGCTGACAAGAGTTGGGGTATTCCAGGTTCTTTCAATCAAAGAAGACTCAGGAAGCACACCTCCTCTGTGGCAGTGCCTGCCCTCTGGAAGAAGGTTCTCTCTGGTATCCATGTGGCTCCCACCCTGCTGCCATTCTGCAGGGCCATAATGACCTGATTGATATCCCAGACCTTGGCCTGTGGGCTGCTGGAAGTTGTTTTTTATTCTAGCCACCCAAAATCACCTCAGTACCAAATCAAATCAAATCAATAAATTAATCGTCGTACCTGAGATGGCATTCGTCACTGACATGAGTGGTGAATGAAGGGCAGGAGTCACACCCCACACAGTATGATATCCAACAATCCCAGCCAAGCCAAAGGTTGTCACCATCTGAGTGAAAGCTGAATTTGGAGAGGCAATACCCAGCCCAAGCAAGCTAGCAATTCCTGTAAAACAAAAGAAAACATATTCAGCCTTTTGGAATACTGCAATCGCCTTCCTGTGAATGGAGGAGGCTAAGATGACCATTGCTTGTCTCAGGTAGGGGTGCTAGAGGCAGAAAGTATATATTAACTAACTGGCTGGCTATCTATGGAAAACAGCTCCCTTAAACCGTTGATTGTTGAGTTCTCATTAGAAACAGTCCACTCAGTTTTGCATCAGTTTCCATGGCCTTGTCTAAAGCGCCCTGAATAAATGAGGTCACCACCCCAAGCAAAAGTGCCAAAGGCATGACTCTAAAGGGATATATCACTTAATATACACTTAGGAAAGCATCTAGGTCAGGGGTGTCAAACTCAATTTCATTGAGGGCCGCATCAGGGTTGTGTTTGACCTCGAGGGGCCGCAGTGGGTGTGGCTGGGGTGGGCCTCAAAGTCACTCGTATTGGGGGGCACTTGTGGCCGCCTGAATGCTCTGCCAGCAAAAACAGCCTCCTACAAACCTCTGCCAGAGAAAACGGAGCTCGGGAGGGCCAAGTGTGCCCCATGCAAGCTCCGTTTTTGGCTGCGACAGCCTCCTGCAACTCTCTTCCAGCAAAAACAGGGCTCTGGCAGAGGTCCCACAGGCCAGCCCTTCACTGTCTCCAGGGCAGGCAGGATCCGGCTCCCCAGGCCTTGAGTTTGACACCCCTGGTCCAGGTAAAGGGCACCCCATTTTAATTTTTACTGATGCTAGAAGAAGTCTGGAGACAGGGATCTGAACTATAATGGCATGATGTTAATTGTCCCAGGAAAATGTAGTTAAGGGGTATCAAACTTGCATCGTCGTTGTGTCGTCACATGACATATTGCACATTTTTCCCCCTTTGCTGAACCAGAAATTGGCGTGGCCAGCGGGTGACACATCCAGCCGTGGACCGCGAGTTTGACACCCCTGATGTAGGTGAATGGAAAATTTAAAAAATGCCCAAGGGGCAAATATTGATGCAATGAAGAGCAGAGGAAGATATGGATACAACCAATTTTGTTCTATTTATTTTGTACAATGGCAATAAATACTACACTATGGTGCAAACTAGCAATTGCAAGGGGGGAAAATACAGTTTGCAGTATAGTCAGAAAATGGTAGCGGTGACAATCCCTTGTACCTAAAATTCCTGTTGTCCACGCCCATGTAAATTGTTGGAAAACACCTATGATCTAGGAGTTAATCCTGGATGAAAATGTTGACATGCTGTAAATCACTAAGTCTTGGCTGAACTAACAGAGAGGAGAAGAGTCACTCTCTCTGCCTGCTTCTGTTTGACAAGATTAGATGTAAAGAATGTGGTCTACGGAAATTCTATCTTGCTCAACAGATGCCCCACTTGACAGTCTGCCAGCTTTAAGGTCATGCTACTGGATTTGAATGACTGGGTCTATCATCTCGGATTGTCTAACTCCAAGAATTCTCCAGCCAACATGATCTCTGAAGAAAATTCCAGGAATTGATATCCACACATCTGAACGATGCCAAGAATGGAGAAGGTTGCATTTTCTTGGATTGGGCAAAGCCAACCCTTAACTGTGTCAGCAAATTCCAGAGAAGAAGCTGAAGAGTGGCACTCATTTCTCACCTGCTGAATAGGCAGACGCAGAGGTCATTGTTTTCCTGAAAGGCGTAATAGTAGCAGCTTTCTCTGCTTCTAGCTCTGCCACTGTCTTCTGCTTCACAGGCGCTGCCTGAGGAATGTTCTTGGGAGGCGGTGCTGGGAAAATCACTTTCCCATCCTAAGAAAAAAGAACTAAGGGCTTAATTAAAAGATCAAGTGGTTTACATTAATGAATTTAAAACCACAGTCTCTGAATCAACGAAACCTTCCAGAGGCCCTGTTATCTTCAAAATTGCAATAGACAAACAAAAAGGAAAATATAAAGGGAGCGGTGACTTTAATATCTACAGCGTGTTTTTTTTAAACTTTTTGATTAAGTTAGAGCAGTCTTTAGTAACAGAGCACCCTGAAAATGCTTCAACTCTCATACTTCTTCAAAACTACTGACTAAGATAATCTGATTTGCAATCCTAACGCATCAGGAAGCACATGGCTGGATAAATTAAGATAACAGACAAAGCAATAGCACAAGGCAATTTGTCTTTTGGGAATGAATTCTAGAGTAATTAATACACATACATTTTTTTCTTATTGCAGAAGACAATACACTGACTCCTGTTCTGCTGAATTTGGTTGGCAGAAAGTAAATCAACTCCAAGGTTGAAGCAATTTCAGGCTGATGCTATGAGGATGTCAGAGGAACGAATATTTTGATCCAGGGCCTTCAATGTACATTTTCCCCACCACTACTAGTGGCAGCTACTCATGAGTATTTCAGTAGACTGTCAATATTATCGGTCTCATACTTGGGCATCCTAAAGATCTTCCTCTCCATGGGCAGAGTGGCATTTATATTTCCCAATTAAACTTTAACCACTTTCATCATAGTCATATATTTTTCTCATTAATTTTGTTTGATACCCAGATGCACACAGATTTTCTTTTCCTTCCATGTCCTAACTCTTTATGCCTATCATATCCTTGGGCTTTCTTTTTCTTATCCAAATGGATTAAAAGGACAGGAGAAATATGTAACCAAAAATGTTGAATGGGAAATACTATTGATTTTAAATAATAAATGAGAAATAAGTTACTTTCCTTGCAAAATACATTTCAAAATGGCTATGAGTATATTTCACTCACAGGAAATTCAAATATGGAGCTATAAATATGATTACTTAAAATAAAATATATATATTCAGATTTAGGATGGGGGAAAGAGCCCCTTTACCTTCATTACCACTGTTCCTCTAACAACATGGTCAAGGGTGCCATAATCAAATTCATCCTTTATGTGAAAGTAAAAGTTTTCTTTGTCTGGGCTGATGGCTTTCAAGAGCTTTGTGATGTTATTTGAATACAAGGTACTAGCTTGGGTCGCCATTCTGCTGGGCAGATCTGAGTAACCTATATGTGTGATCCCCTGTAGACAACAAAAATATAGAGGAAAGAACAAAAGAAACTGCTTTATGCCAAGTCAGATTATTTATCTAGCTTGTCAAACATTGTTGGGGCTGCCTAGAGCCAATTTTCAGGGTTCCAGGCGCAACATATCTAACTTTTCCAAAAGATACTAATGTTCTATATGTCCTTTGTTATACATTTGTACATATGATTAAATAAACTTAATAAATAAATAAATAATTTGTGGGGGAAAGGGGGGGAAAATCCAATTTTTCAAAATCTAAATCTAGTCATGGCAGTAAATAAAGCAAGTGTTTTCCTACATATTAACTTTTTTGAAAGCAATTTCTGAGTTTATATGGGGCATCTTCCATGTCGATAGGCCTGCCTTGATTAACAAATGTAAGGGTTAAAGTGCGAACCTGTGATTCTTAGGATGAAGGTGACTGTTAAGTAAACACAGAGCAACTTGGTTTCAAGGCCTCCAAGAACAAGTATCTATTATTTCAAAAAACCCAGGAGGAAGCAGCTATTAAGTTGAAATACTGAAGCTATAAAAGGAATTTATATCTTCAGGCAATTAACTGGCGTGAATGGCTTTTTTCTTGCTTACAATCAAGATTGTAATCTAGCCATGTCTGAAAGTCTTCTATCAAACCTAGTTTAGGAGCTCAGTTAGGATACCTTGAGTTTATTTTTTGTTTTTAAAGTGTTATTCATTAAATTAGAAAAGGCTAAATTTATCTATTTTCATGGGCCTATTTTTTATAGCACAATTTATCAGCGGGGGGGGGGGGGATTACAAGGAAATAAAGGTAGTCCTCAACTCATAATGACAATTGAGACCAGAAGTTCCATAGCTAAGGATGACTATATTGCTTAGTGAAGGCAACTGCTGCAGTCCACAATGTTTTTAACTGAATCCCACAGTCCATTAGGTGAGCCAATTTCCTGGTGGGTTCCCACAGTCAGTGAGAAGGAAAACCAGCAGGAAACTGCAAGACCCAGACTGATAAGTGATGCAGGTCAAGTAGAGGACCAGAATGGTGCACGGAGATGGGGAGCGATGCAGGGTGGGTCAGAGTGTGAGGTGAGAATCAGGGAGAGTGTGGTGTGGGTTGGGGAGGGGAGGGTGACCAAGAGTGCACTACAGTTGTGCCTCATAGAAGGCATACAAGGGTGCAGCAAGGGTCAGGGACAATGTGCAAAGCTATGAGAGAGGCGGATTGAAGAGTGTGCACAGAGATATGCAAGTGGCCAGCATGGTGCAAATGCAGAGGGCTGGGGGAGGATGCACAGGTTGGGGAGACTTAGCCCAGTGACTTGCAACCTTCCCCACTGTCTTTCCCATTGATGTTCTGGGGAAGCCAGCAGGGAAGTTTGCAAATGGTGATCATAGGGCACTGCAACCAATCATAAGAGTGAACTGGTGACCATAGTGTGCTGGGACAACGGGAACTTCAAGGGATCATAACCAACATTTATTGTCATAACTTTGAAAGGTTGCTGAATGTAATGTAATGGTCATAGAATAAGGATGACCTGTTAGCAGACCCAAGTGGTTATATCACATATATCTGCCCACAAAACACTAAATATATCAATGATCAGCATTTTGCCAATATTGAGAGTTTGAGAGTTTGAGAAGTTTATTTATATGCCGCCCTTTTCCCTGGGGGGACTCAGGGCGGCTTACAACTCGAAAAGGGGGGGGGGGAACAAACATTTAACACATAGGACAATACATCATTAAAAAAACACAACATTCGTACTATTCAGGTGGGTT